AGCTGTGGAGGGGCCAGTGTGCTGTGTAGGGCAGAGGTCAGATAAAGGGAAATGCAATAAAAACATGTCATCAGAAATGGAGAAACTTGACAAAACATTAACTATGTATTAACTTTGATTCACTGTAAGCCTGTATTATTTGGTGAAGTTTGAAATTCTGCAGAAGACAGTATTTTTTACTTTATTGTTTCACCTGTATATTAGCGTTATGTGCTCCGGAATGAAGAAAGCCCTGTTTATCATATATATTTATTTAATGCACGTCTATGGAACATTTTTCACTGTTATCAGTATTTAGATTGAAAAAAAGAGAAATCCATCTATTCCTTGTTTAAGTTGCATCATGTTGATCACACTGTTTTAAACCTGCACTTTTCTTGGAAAAAGTCCAGGTGAGATACAGCAGGGATCGCAAATCTTCTCTTAATCATAAACCACATGAACTCTGTGTCTGCCTGCTGGGTTAAACAGCACAGGACCAACTGCTGTTATCAACCGGCTCCATGTGGCCTTTATCTGCATTTGCGTGTATTGGCTTAACCCTGTGTTAATGGATTAGCAAGTGCATGTTTACATTGGTGGGTTTTTCTTTCTGATTCTCTCCGTGTAATAGGTGGAGACTATGCCCAGCCAGTTTACTGACCACAGCGTTTATCTTTGGAATATCTCCAACAACGGAGAGCTGGTGAAGCTGGAGGGCATCAGTGCACCACCTTTACACCGACCCACACACTGTGCTGACTACGTCAGCATCCTACACCAGGTCTGTCTTTCTACCAGTCAAATATTTATCATTTAAAGCTACAATATGTAACTTAAGACAGCATTAGACTGAAACTCCAAATCGATCCCCTCTGCTTCACCCGGCACTCCCCCTCCCTGCTCTAATGCAATCTGCTAGCTCTGCAACACTCTGCCCAGCTCTTATATTGTCATTATGAAATTACAGTAAATGAGAATGCAACAAAACTTACTGATCAAGCAGAAATAATTGCAAATTTCTGACCGATTAGAGAGGCCAATGCCATTCAAAACCTTTTAAAAGCTAATATCTCTGCACTGCTGCCAGTGCTGTTGAGTGAGTCTGGGTCACAGGAGGCTTCAATAGCACCTCTCCACAGTGGCTGCATTTCCACTATGGGAACCTAATGAGCAGTATACTTAATGCTTCACCTCGCGTTACCTCCTGGGTTGAGGCTTTGCTGTTCCACTTTATTTTCTCTCCATCAGTCTCTGTTTAGAGGTGGGGTGGGCTGTGCCCCTCTCACACATGCAGTCAACTGGGCCAAAGGAGAACAGACTACATGAAGGATCACTCCATAGTGTAACAATCAGTCAGTAATGGAGACTGTGTGAGCAATTTATCACACTGCTGTTGAACGAGTAGACCACTGACTTTGCCCATGGTCCACTCACTGAAGTCCCCATTTTACCTCTAAATCAGTATAAGTGCCTCTTTATATGCTGTGCTTGTAATGCTAAAGATTGAGCTATGAAAAATGTCACATACTTTAGCTTGAATTAGTTGTTATATCATATCAGGCTATGCGCCCCGTATTGTGATCAGTTATACAATTACAAATACGTGGTTTCTGATGGTTTATATAGATTTATCTCCTTTCATCCTGAAGTAAAAACACCATAACTAGCATCCATTAATTTGATGGAGATGCCTTGGTAAGAAAAACTACTCACTATAACATAATTAAACACATTTGGCAATGTTCATGTGATTCACAGATTTGTGTGTGTGTGCGTTGTTTACAGTTGTGATATATTTATCGTCTTCTCACTGCTTAGGTAGATAGAATCCGGCAGGTGGGGGTGAACCACTTCCACTTCTCTCTGAACTGGTCGGCTCTGGTACCCACGGGTGACGCGGCTCAGCCTAACACCACTCTGCTGGGCTACTACCGCTGCTTCACCCGTCAGCTGCAGCAGGCCAACATCACGCCTGTCGTCACACTGTGGCACCACACACGCCAGCGCGGCAACCTGCCAGCCACATTGGATAACACCAACAAGTGGCTGAACAGGTCAGAACGAACGCTCTGTCAGCTCTAGCACGTGAAAGCTCTTGGCAAACCAAACACAAAACTAATAAGCAGCCATCTCTATCAGATATGCCTTATTACAATTTACAGAAATTTTATGACTGGTCTGATGTAAAAGTAAACGTGCAACAAGGAGCATTCTGTCCTGGTTAAGGTCAACATGAAGCCATCCTTTATCACTATGGTATCATTTTTCCTGTCCTTGCAATAAACAGTTCTCTGTCTGACATTGGAACAATGTGATTTATTGGCACGTTCAGCTTTACTGGCACAATACTTGGTGGTGGTGTTACAGTGAAGGTCTTCCAGGACATAATTACTTTGGAGATAAGTGTAGTAGTGTAACCAAACAGGTTCATCTAGGATGTTCATCATCATCACGTGTGTGTGTGTGTGTGAGGTTAACATAGTTATGCTTGTTTTGAATACAGTATATTGTGACTTTATATTTGGACTACAAATTAATTATTACTTTACTTATTGATTAATTTGATTTAATTATTTTCTCAATTGACTGAGTAATTGTTTGGTCTGTTGCAGGCGTCTTTTGTCGTAATAAAATCATGAAAATAACCATCACAATTTGCTCACATTGTTCTCATCTTGTGTTGTTTGACAGTCTGGAAGCCAGAACATTTTCAGTTTGCTGTTGTAAAAGCAGCACAAAACCAAAACAATATCGACATCTGAGAAACCACAACCAATGAATTTTTGGTATTCTTAGACTTATAAATGAATCAGTTATCAAAATAGTTAATTTTCTATTGATTCATGGATCAATTAGTCACTCTTTTCAGCTCTACTGTAAATATTACTACATGGTAACTTACATAACTGATAGAGATTTCACATACAGTGTGATGCATCTTAGTGTGTAAGTAAAATTTCCATGCTTGGCTTTTTCCTCAGGGAGACCCCACAGGCCTTTGCAGACTATGCCAGACTTTGTTACAGAGAACTGGGTGCCCATGTGAAAATGTGGATCACCTTGAATGAGCCCAATGATGAGATGGTCAGCTACCAGGAAGGTCATCAGATGTTACGGGCGCATGCTCTGGCCTGGCGTGTTTATGACCGTGAGTTTAGACATGCACAGGGAGGAGAGGTCAGTCGAACTGCAGTTAACAAGTTGTTGTTTTTTTTTTAAGATCTAAAAAGTATTTGTTAGTTTACACATCTGGTTATATGTTACACAAATAATCTACACAATTTTTACAGTAGAAATGTGTTGCATCTTGTAGTCTTTGCTGTTTTGCTCTTGCAGCTTCATTAGAGCATTTCATATTCAAACACCCCACTGTTGCCAGCTTGTTTTTATGAAACTGGATTTTCTTATTTGTGGCCTTTGTTTTTGTCTGTTTATCTATGTTGGCTTTAGCTGCTTCTGTTTATTACAAATAAGTTACTTTGTTGCAAGTAATGTAAACTCGACACTTGCACCAGACAATGTGTTTAAAGCAGATTTGTAAAAAGTGCAAATGACTGAGGTATACGTTTAATTACTACAGTCAAAAGGAAAGGGAGAATGTCTCAGATGATCAGCTGCGCTGCCCTGTTTGTTGTGTGTCAGGTGTCTCTGGCTCTGCACATGGACTGGGTGGAACCAGCCTTTTCATTCAGCCGTCAAGACGTGGAACCAGCTAAAAGGGTTTTAGACTTCCGGGTTGGCTGGTTTGCAGAGCCGATCTTCGGCAGTGGGGACTATCCTGTGGCCATGAGGAGCTGGCTGCGTCAGCTCAACTCACTTGAGTACAAATGCAATCATACTTCATACTCATTGGAATCACTTGCTGTAGCTGTTAGCTGTAGAATAAATAATGTTGTTTACAGTCACAATGAACAAATGTTACCAAATGATCTAGTCTAGTTTGATTGGTAGCATTTTAGCTGTGCTAGCAGTGCAGTGCAGTTCAGTTCTGTCTGTTGGTCCATCACTTTGGTCCAGGCTGAAGGAGCTCAGCAATGTTTGGATAGATTGCCATGAAACTTCATGATCCCCTCAGCATCTCTTTGGGGTCCTTATCTTTCATCTAGCGCCATCAATCAAAATTTCCACCTCAAATTCCACATAGAAATATTTCTTCTTGCAATACTAAGATAACTGATCAGCTACATGTTATTTATAAAAGATAACTGGGAAGCATTGAATTAAATTATAATCATTATGTTCCAGGGTGGTTAGAAATCAGATTGAAAGCTTTAGAATACTTTATCAACATTTAAGGTATACACAGTCAGTAATGAATGGAGCAAAGACAAAACAACTAAATTGTACTTTTTAAGTAATACTTCCATACAGCATCATTTCTTATTTAAAAGGCCATGTTTTCTGTGTGCTTCCACAGCCTGCCGGTTTTCAATGAAGAGGACAGAGAGCTGGTTAAAGGAACGTATGACTTCTTTGCCATTAGTCATTTCAGTACCAAGTTGGTAACACATGCCAAGGAAGACTCGTAAGAAAATCAGTTTCTTTCAATAGTGATACAAAAAGTGCAAAAAAAGTCTTTGATTAGAATTGAACCAAGGACACAAGATGTTACATAATATGCTTCCTAACCATCAAGTCAATGGACAACTCTACTGTAGTTTAAAATTAACATTTAGCCATGCCAGTGTTAAAATAACTCAGATTAGTTGAAGACAAATACCCCGATGTAGTGATAAGACATCCAGCTTCTGCATGTTCCACATCTGCAGGTATACCTACTCAGCAATGCTAGAGGTTCAACACATGATAGACACCACATGGATCAGGTCCCCGAGGCCTGTTGTCCCCTGGGGCTTGAGGAAGGCCCTCAACTGGGTGAGACCTGACTCATCTTGTCTGTTCTTGTACAGTTTGGTGAAGAGTTAAAAAGTTGACCTAACTGTTGTTAGGTAAGCTGACAGGAACATAGTAAAAGGTTCTCATGTAGTCCCACATGTAGTTTCTCATTCATAGATTCAGGATTTTTCTATAAGGGTAAGTACAGTATATGTAGCTTAAAGTATTTTTAAACAATTTATTGTATTTGTTTCTGAAAAACATACTAGACACTATTAATAGCAGAATATACTTCTGAAGCAAATTTTTAAAATGTAACTTCAAAACCACAAGTCACATGACATGACTGATTCTCTGCTCTGTAAGGTGAAGGAGCACTATAGTGACGTACCTGTCTATGTGATGGCTAATGGGGTCCAGGAAAACCAAGCCCACTTCAAGGACAGCCTAAGAGTCTATTACCTGTACAACTACATAAATGAGGCGCTGAAAGGTGAGAAAGCAAACACATTTGCTGCTTGAGATTCTGTAGGATTAAAGCAATGTACTCCTATGTTGTTATCACTGCATTTGTGTACAGAGATCCTACTGGTCAACAACTTTCATCATACGGCCTCTGCAAAGCTTGATTATTTGACAGATATTTAGGTCACCAATCCCCAAATCACTTGAATACACACATGTGCACTCAAAAATATCAACAGACACTCTCTACGCTGAACTGTTTCGTCAGGGTTACTTCTTGTGCAGTTATCTGTCCTTGTAAAGTTTATGTGGTTACATTCTGTGAAGATTTGGCTTCAACTTTAAAACTTTGCAGTGTTACACTCTAATGTGCACATGGTTGTCACCACTAGGTGGCAAACATCCAGTCATAATTCAATGACAGAAAATAGTCTGCAAACCAGTGTTTAATATAAATCAACTGCGAAATACAAGGCATTTATTCATTCTTATTTTTTTTATTATGCCTGTTTGATGAAACTTGAACTTTATAATTCATCTGGCTCCATTCTTATATCTTATATTTCTAAACATAAGCTTTACATTGTATTTTTTCCCATAAGTGTATTTTAACCTCATAATTTTAAAGTACTACTTTTTTACTACCACACACCAGCCCACTTACCTCACCTTCACATGCACAAGTGAAATTTCTATTCCACATTTTACACGTTTTGTCTTTGTCCCTCATCAGCATATGCTCTGGACGGTGTAAACCTGAAGGGTTATTTTGCTTACGCCCTGAACGACCAAAGGGACCCTGGGTTTGGCTTGTATGGCCAAGTCCAAGACGAGGTCATTGTCAAGGCCTCTCTCTCCAACTATCGCAACATCATCCAGCACAATGGCTTCCCCATTCAGGGAGCGGCGCCCCAGCAGTGTCCCAGCGCGCCTCAGCCCTGCCTGGGCTGCAGTGTGCTGGTGAAGAGGCCTGTAGTGGGCTTCCTGACTCTGGTGGGTTCAGGGGTGCTGATCACCCTGGGCATCATCATCTACTACACAACCAAGAAACGCAAGGAGTGTTACTGACGATCGTGACTGTAGGATTTGTTTCGTGTCTTTATAAATGTGTCAAGAAAGAAACTGAACTTGATGTTCAGTGTAGTTTGTCAGCTTTTATAGTTCTTTTGACTTAATGTTAAATGAAGTCTGAATAAGTACGAAGTGGTGAAAGCATCATGTTGCATGCTTTGCTGACACTGCCATTTTCACGTAGATTCCAAAGTGGAGGAAACCTCTGGACGGTACACTTGACTGCTGAAGTTTGTAGCTTCTTGTAGTGTTGACACCAATTTCTTTGTGGGTGTGTAATACACTGGGCCATAGCCACAGAGCAATGCTACACTTTATGTATTTTGTAAACAAAGCAATTTATTGTAACCTTCTGATGCAGATTTTTAGAAAACATTGCTTGTCCTTGCAGTGTTTTATACATAACTGTTTTCTGTTGTTGCTGTCAAAACTGCCATTTGGATTGCGTATTTTCAACCACTAAAGCAACAGTTTAAGGTTTGCAAACTGTGTACATTGCTGAGGTTTTGGGCATAAATTCACAAACTGTAAGACTTGTCAAGATTCGCCTAGGTGAGTAGTGTCACCACCACCAGTCCTGACAGAGCACACATGCCCGTATCAGATCCAGTAAGAGTCTTGCTGGGAGAAAAAGAGATATCAGGAAATAAATGAGGGCTGCTGAACTTCTATCAAGAAAATAATCAGTATTAGTCCCTTCAGAGTCAGAACATCATGGCATCCAGACCATCTTCCATGAACTTCTTGTAAACAGCCATGAATTTGGCAGTGAAGGCTTCTAGGTGGTAGATGGCTTTGCTGCCCAGCTGCAGTCTGTGTTCATAGTAAGCTGCCATGTGGGCCACCTCTGTCTTCAGGTGGCCATCGCAGTTACTCAATAGCTCTGTTACCAGTCCCTGTTAGAGAATTGGATGATGACAATGTATAAATCAGTGGCTTAAACTTACTGGAAACCATTTCAACACTGATGGGAAAGGTGTAGTAAATGGTACCTTCATAATTATCTCAGGAGGGATGCAGTGAGTCAGCAGCTCATACAGCCTGGCTCGAACCTCCAACAACCTGGAGCCAAGACAGACAGAGGGAAGTCTAATTATCTTCTCATCTCTATCAGAACCAAAACTAACCATCTCCTCTCTCGCTATTCGCCTCACATACTTCTGAGGGCTCTGCTGGCTGACGATGACATTAGCTGTTTCTCTGAGGTACACCTCCCAGTCTGTCTCTGGGACCTCTTGGTCTACTGAGAATGGATACCTGGAAAAGACACAGGCTAAATATGCAGATATGTTTTGTTTATATTCCATATTAATCCACAGATCACTTACTGCTGCACTCTGCTGGCCTCACACATCAAAAGGGCTTTGCGGAGATTGCGACCAGACTTCTCACTAATCTTCTTAGCCAGCTCAGGAGGGAGGACCAAACCTTCCTTTTTACAGACTGATGTCAGAATATTACAGACCTGGAAAACAGAGAAAAAAAGAGGAAAACTGACATCCAGGCTTAAATTATGCAGCAAATTTGAAGTATTCTAATATTCTACTTTAAGATTATTTTTAATTACGGTCTAAACAGTATCATCATCACCTCTTCTGTGCTTGGCAGGGGAACTCTGATAGCCAAACAACGGCTCTGAATCGGCCCAATGACTTTGGAGGTTGCAGTAGAGCAGAGGATAAGGCGACAGGTGGCCATGTACTTTTCCATCGTCCGTCGCAAAGCATGCTGGGCATCCTTTGTGAGTCTGTCTACCTCTGTTAGCAACACCACTAAGAAACAAAGTGTGCCAATTACTACAGGACTGACAGTCTGATATTATGGCTTCATAAAGCCAGTGGTGACATCAGGATGGTCCTTTGATTGTTAATGGAACAATATTCACAGGAACAGAGGGTTGGGTGTCCTACCTTTGAACTCTTTCTGGGTGCTCGACTGGATCTGCTGAGACTGAGCCACCGTTTTAATCAGCTCTTGAATCACCACACGGTCCTGGTTTCCTGCATCACTGTATGACACAGAAATACTTAATATGCAATAGTTATTTAGTAAAGCTATCAAGAAAAACCTTTTGATTGATAAAATTTTAATCTGCAAAGTAACAAGAACTTTCAACTGTAGTGGAGTAAGAGACAATTTAGCAGAGCATAAGCATAAAATAAAAAATGAAGTCACAAGTCTCAAAGTACAGGTAAATGTAACTTTTCACTTCTAAGATACCTTGGGTTGACTTCCAAGTGATAGTTGCTGGCTATTGTGTTGATCTCAATTTTCTTCTTTGAAGGAGCCTGCAGTCAAAAAACAGTGACTCAACTAAGCCGTCGTTATTAGAAAATGAAATAATGACTGAAGACACTGCATGCGAGTGGTGTATCGTAAGAGGGTGTTCAGTGACAGTATTTCATTAGCTCCCCTCTCACCACCACGGTGTGGTGCTCCATGCGAAGCTTCTCCACCCCAGCTCCATATAGCTCCCTCAGCAGGCACATGATGCGAGTCTTTTTCCCTGCACCTGGCGGACCGTACACCAACAAGTGTGGGAAGTCTCCACCCTGGACCTAAAACACGTTTATAAACAAATACTTTTTTTTGGAACAGGTTGCCTTAGCCACAGCTCTGAACCCAAAGTGCCACTTGTGCTGGACTCGGCCTGATTCTCAAACTATTGGATGAAGATGCCTATTTGATGATGGTTTGACAATCTTATTGGAGCAAACCGATTTAGGTTACACGCCACTTTCACCATATCCCTTACTCGTTGTGTATAAACGCTCAGGTAGTTTACCTGTCTGTAGGTATGTGCTTTCATTATTAACTTTTACATTCAACTATTGAAAATTGTCAGAAAGGACAGGTAGATGAATCATTAACGTTACGATAAACAACAAACAAGCTAGCTTAACTCGTGATTATGTGCAAATGATGTTTACACGCAAACGTCTGGCTTTTTACAAAGTCCTCAAAGACTGGCCAGCACAAGGAATTTCTTAGTAATGTAAATTAAACTAAACTCGCTGGTTTCAGCCTGTGCAGCAGATGGGTATGATGCTAATGCTAACTTAGCCTGAACATCTGTGACATGGCGATGTTTTTGTCTTTACCAGG